GCAGCCTATTTTTCCGTAATGCATTTATCGAACAGAAATACAGCTGTGAGTGTTGAGAGATTCAGAAAGCCCACTCATGGATTATCTTCTGTGTAGATGGCGGCCGATGGATTCCTCTCCGAAGCCCAGGATACCCGAGCCGGGAGTGGTATTTGTCGAATATAAATATAGGGGATACATTTACTACGGGTCCTGTGTGGTTAAAAGCACTGCATTCTAAGTGATTAGAGTTCCTCAGACCAAGCAGATAAAAAGCTGAACTAACTGGGGTAGAAATTTTCACTAAAATGGACTACACCCGAACATCGTAGTTGCATCATGAAAACCAAACTTTAAAGTGAGTTACCGATGACCGCTCATTTGTTCGGTCTATATATGCAAAACGCACTCAACCAGAGCGATGAGTGCAGGTCAGTAGTGTCGCCTGGGTGCTACGTGAGCACGTTAGTCAGCAGCCTGTTTACTCTAATTGGAGACGATTTTCACCTGGACAAAAACCGGCTTCGGAAGTGGCAGACATTCTAAAGAAAGCAGAAGACCACAGGTTTTGCCAGTGGATAGGCCCCAAGTGGAACATATCCAGCCGAGATTCTGCCGATCAGAGGAACCATTCTACGCGATGTTTATCTGATTCGATTTAACAGTCCACTAAAATATCTACGCAAGTGGTATGAAATACCAGCCTCGGCTGTGTGGGAACTACGGTCTGAAATAAACAGTATCCTGAAACGTAACGCACCAAGAAGAAATAATCACAAAGATGATACATCATCCTTATAGACATGGAACTATATTTTGGGTGATCACGCACATGACAACGTGGACAGTCCAAGTAACGTGTCTAGATAAAGCGAGAAAAAAAGATGCTTACTGCTCGTTATCGAAGGTATCCAAATGCAGTGCGACAGACAACAAGCGGACTATTGCAGATCGTGTGGCCAGCCCGAGTCCTAGTGCGGAGTAGTCGGAAGGAGACGAATGGGTTGGTGACGTTGTTAGTAAGCCGAGGGCGAAGAGCCCTGGAGTCTCCGGACACTCCAGCAGAGTCTGTAGAGACTGACCACAATGACGCGCTACACTCGAGGCTGGTTTATTGTCACCACCAGTCTTCTCATTGGACGGCTGTGTCAGAGAGACTTCATCTTCTTGTGAGACGCCAGGAAACATGGTGGATAACATGTCGGTGCACGTGTACACCAGACCCATCGCTTCAACAGCCAAACCCATAGACAGTAGGCTGGGGAAGAGAAGAAATGCATGTCAGGGAAGAGGCTGGAAGTCTGACTGATAAGAGACGTGTAACTCTGAGAGAGGATAATGGAGGCTAAAAGGAAAAAGAGATGATGGTCGTAACCAGTCGGAATATGAATCCGTGGAGACACTGCGACCCGTCAGAGCTCGTCAAAGAGTGGAATACCTTGTAAATCAGTATTAGCAGTTCGCCTCAGCCAACGAAGTTGGTCAGTACTTGGTGAATCTGCCGGTAAAAAAACGGGGTTTTATGAAGTCACTTCGATGCTGCAATTTCAAATGAGATGGCTGAACCCGGTAGATAAACACGTTTCGTGGGGTAACTTCGGCGCTCAGTTGAACACCTTTTTCATAATTCCCTCCTCTGAATACAACATTCCAAGCTTGAAGTAATGAGTTCTCTAG